GAGTTGCCACAATGATATTAGGTTAGCTAAGGTCAGTTAACTGACTGGTGGGAAACGGGAGCTTAAGCAATGGCTATTCTTTATGCATTTAAGAGATAGTCTACCAGAATGGATGACTTTTTTTGTACAATTTTATGTTTTCTGATGGTTTCGGTTGTGCAAAACATGAGAATTAACTTTTTCAATACTTTCAATTGTACAAAGCATTAGAGCTAGAAACAAGATCTTGTAAACACTACACACCTTAACTGGTAGTTTGCTAAAAAAATGCTGCAAAAATCGTCAAGCTCGCTGTAATGTCACCAAGTGCCTCGTCACCTACAAATTGGCGCCTATGTCAGTGGTCTAACAACTCTTAGCGCGCTAATGGCATAGTTCCCCTGCCGCATAGAGAGTTGCCGCAATGATATTAGGTTAGCTAAGGTCAGTTAACTGACTGGTGGGAAACGGGAGCTTCAGCATTGACTGTTATGCACGCATTTTTATGATGTAATCTAACAACAATCGTGTGTAGTGTTTACACGATCATGTTTCTAGTTCTAATGTGTTGTAAATATAATTGAAAGCATTTGAAAAGTAAGATTCTAGTGTTTTGTATATCTAAAAACATTAGTAAACATCTACATTTGAAAACATTCAAACAACGTTTACTTTAAACGTTTTGTACATCTGAAAACATCAGAGAACATCAAACACGAAGTACAATTGAAAACATCCGAACAACGTTTAGTTCTAACGTTGTGTACATCCGAAAACATCCAAAAAAAGTTTGGTTCCAGCATCGGGAGGCATCTACGTTAGAAAACATCAGAATACATTTACATATAAAAACATCCGAACAACGTTTAGTTCTAACGTTTTTTACATCCGAAAACAACCGAAAAACGTTTGATTCTAACATCAGGAAACCTCTACATTAGAAAACATCAGAAAACGTTTACATATAAAAACATCCGAAAAACGTTTAGTTCTAACGTTTTTTACATCTGAAAACATCCAAAAACGTTTGTTTCTAACATCAGGAAACATCTACATTAGAAAACATCTGAAAACGTTTACATTAAAAAACATCCGAACAACGTTTAGTTCTAACGTTTTGTACATCTGAAAACATCCTTAAAACGTTTGGTTCTAATGTCAATAGATTGAAATTTTTGACGTCAGACCGACATTAGAATGGCAAAATTTTGTTCCAAAATTTCTGATGTATACACCATGTTACGTTGCTTAAATACAACTAAATCATAATGTTTCCTAATGTTTGACATCAGGCATACATTTGATTTCGATGCTGATGTAGACATCTAAATCAAACGTTGGGCTAATGTAAATTTCTATTCGGGTATTAAGCAGGATGAACTGTTAAGCTAACGGTCATTTCAAAACGTAGTCAGAAGTTATACCGTTTTATGTCAGATTACACTCAAAAAATATTGAATTCTAAATAGTATAAAAGTTACGCTAAATCGCAACTCTCCGTACCGACGCAAAGGTCGGTATAAAGAGAGAGAATGCAAACTTAGTATAAAAATTGTTTATGCGTGCCATAGTATAAAATCGAAATATACTTTCAATGCATAGATCTAGATAGAGCTGGAATAAGGGCGAATGTCGCAAGTGTATACAAACTGAGGTTAATACATCACGTTATACTACTATTAAAATGCTACAAAACGATACTAAAAATGTTTGGACAAATAATGTACTTTCTTAAAAAAACGCAAAAAACATAAGGGCGAAACCAACTTTTTTTTTTATTACAAATTGAATTGGCTCTTACGGCCGCTTCCTCCCATATACATAGATGGGGCCGTATTAGCATTTTCACCAAATGTATTAGAATGTTTTGGTTCTATCTCTTTCACTCTACTCAAAACTGAAATGCATAAAAAAATGACAAAATGATACACTCTTTGCACACTGTCAAAGAATCATTGTACACAAAATCAACTTTGTTCAAATCAAAACAAAAAAACTAACCCATCTGGTAGATGATGGCACAAGCTTCCAAGAAAATTCTATTACAGTGAACCACATTATTTTAATGGATTTCTTCGCCAGTTAGTCGTCTGTCACTTCGTTTGTGGTAGTAGTGTAGCCATGTGGTATAATCATAGAGGTAACTCTAAGACTACTGGGTCCCGAAGAAAAACATTATTATTTTTGGCTCACTCAGTACCAGAACAACGGTCCCAAGCAGTCCCAAGCTATTTCACTCACCCCTGCATGTTCTGCATGAATCCACACACCCCTGATGTTATCTGTCAAACTTTCATAGCGAATCAAAACAAACATAGTGTAGTAATAGAATTTCAACTAGAATAGGGTACGTTAATCGTTTGCTTGGGACCAATAGGCTACTAAAGTGGTGAGCCATTTTAAAATCGTTAGTTTCGTATTGATTGTTGGTATAATCCAGTAGTAGTGGTGTTGCCATGTGGTACACTGAAAAATTGAAATAGCAGGTTAGTCACCAAAGTTTTCGAGCCGCTCCGTCTGTCACTTCGTTTGTGGTAGAACCAACAATCAATACGAAACTATTGATTTGAAATTGGCTCACCACTAGCCTATTGGTCCCAAGCAAACGATTAACGTATCCCATTCTAGTCGAAATTCTAGTACTACACAATGTTTGTTTTGATTCGCTATGAAAGTTTGACAGATAAAATGAGGGGTTAGTGGATTTTCCTATGTTTCGAGGGGTGAATCGATTAGCTTGGGACCGAAGAGAGTACCAGAGCTGAGCCAAAAAGTTGAGCACGTTTCTTCGGGACCTACTAGTCTTAGAGTTACCTATATGGTAGAACTGGCAGTTTATTCTCATATGAATTTCTGCTTTGTTTATGTTTACATTCAGCACCATTAACACCAGATCACTCATATACTCTAGATTTCTAGCTGATATCACCTGGAGGTTGCAATTTGTTAATTTTTTCCTCTGTTCCTAAAAGAGGGTTAAGGCAAAGGGAGGAGTGAAAATCCAAACCTTCCAAATACAATAGTGTATACAATGCATTTTAAACCCGTGCAGGCCAGCATTACCGAGCGGGAAATGCTAAATTGGTGAGACTGTAGCACACAGCAAAAAAAGTTGTTGAATATTACATCGAAACTGCTGCAACCAGGACAATCCTTCGGTTATGTAATATCACATTGTACGATGCACATCGATTTTGCGAACAAAATTACATCCATTGATGTAATATTGTATCTGCTTTTTGCTATTACATCACTATTTCATACATCAGTTTGAATTACACGCAGAAAAAAATATTTTAAACGTAATAATATTTGACGTTAAATCAATAAGAATTTCATTTTGTTTTGGCTGCGAAAAGAAATCATTATTGTTTCAACAATCCAGTATTTTTGTTCCTCAAAACCCATGGATTGTTAAATCAAAAAGAAAATCTTTTCGAATTTACAAGAGCTTTCATGGATTTGACGTAAGCTGTCAAATTTGGCAGCTGGGTCAAAAACAAAAATATGTTTGTTTTTAACAGAGATTTCTTGTTGATTCAATAATATTTATTATATGAAGTCTGACAATTCACGCAGTAGAAATAAAAATATGTTTATTGATTAAAAAATCCGGAGTGATTTGAGATTTGGGCAACATTGCTTTTGAAAACAAACACGTCAATTATTGATTTCTCTTGAATAAGAACTCAATCTCACAAACATACTATACCAAATGATAGAGGTATCATTCCTCTACCTCATAGTGTTATTACTTTTCAAGATTTAGCTTTTATTCACTAGAAATCGGTGATTGACGTATTTGTTTACAAATGCAATTACGCCCAAATCTCAAATCACTCCGGAAATAATATGGCCAATTTTTTTTTGATTTGTTTTCTTTTTCACTGATCATCCTTCGGAAGGGAAGTAAAGCCGTTGGTCCCCGGTTAATAGTTGGGGTCCGTGGGAGCTGCCTGCCTGGCGTCAGGAGCATTGGTACATACTCAGTACGGAAAACAAAATCTGCGGAAAAAAAATCAAGGAAAAAAACAGAAAATTGATTATATTTAGCAACTGCAGCTCGAACTGCAGCATACTTACTTACACACTAAGATTTTGTTTCCGTATTCGGTAAATTTTACCGAAATCAGAACAGCTGAATGTTCGGTAAAACTTTGACCTTCATTTTAAAGGCTATTGAGTTTGAAAATAATATCAGAACATGTTCAACCTTGTTTAAATGATCAAATCTTGTCATTTTAGTGGAGATTTAGTTTCAAAGTAGCTGAAAAGCAATTGAATTGAATTGCATAAATTTTACCGAAAAGTTCAGCTGTTCAGATTTCGGTAAAAATTACCGAAGTCGGCGATAATTTCTAAGTGTGTACCTCAAGTCTCAAGATTTTCGGAAATGTTGCACTCATTTCCCGAAATTCACAAGTTTTGTTATTGTTTACATTTTTGTCCGGGTGAAAACGAGGGAATGGTTGGTAGTTATTTTTGCATTCATGGCCCCGGGGAATGGACACAGCAAATAAATGCTAAATTAAAATGAACTATTGTTGGATTAATAATAGAATATTGTTATTTTTACAATAGTTGCAGTTGAAAAGTGGCTTATTAACACAAAAAGAATCCTATTTTGAATTTATATGAATAAATATTATTGAATCAACAAAATGCAATATAATTTCAACCGGAATTGTTTGTTTAAATACAACTAAAGTTTTGTTTGGTTCAATGCAAACAATTTTCTGTCCGTGTACGTTGATCGATATTACATTTTTTTTTGCTGTGCATTCATGGCAAATATTCAATCGAGTATTCAATATCCAATCAATCATCGTATTCCTTATTTTTTTCAGATAGTCATTTATTTCAATAAGATTATCTCTAATATACAAATATCATAAACAAGTGGGTTTCTTGAACGATAATCCGAATAAAAGAACTAATCCAGAAATAGTAAGTCTGGGTACATCCACATTTCATGGTTCATGCTTTCCAGGATTATTCGATACCAGGAAATGTGCCATAGTTCATACAGAACCTAACCAGGTAGTTATCGGTCTCGGGACTCTTGTGTTATTGGCACAACTGTATCGATAGTTAATTTCCATTACATCAGTTGCTGCAAATCCATTATCATTGCCAAAATCACCAACCCATGGTTTCTGTGGATGATGATGAAATATTTAATAAATGAAAAAAAAAATATTACATAAGTTGAAGGAGGTTCAAATAATCAATATTCAAAGCCACATGACATATTTACCTTGTTTATGAGAACGGGATAATCGCGACTCTGAGCACCTGCATAGCGAGAATAATGCATAACACTGCCATAATTGTATGGAATATTATACGTCTGGCCATCTTCAGATCGAAGTTTACCGAAGTTGTTATCATATACATCATCAGCTATAAAAATACGATTATGTTAAGAAACCTTGCTAAAACAAACTAAAACAACCTTGAAGTTCTGGTTGGAGTGCGCTTCGATTGATGCTAATGTAATCATCCCGATCTGGTCGAACGAATTCGTGATAAAAACCTAACGCATGCATCATTTCATGTACTGGCGTTCCAACTGCCATCAGACATTCCGGAGTTTGAAGATTAATGAGATTGTACTGATTGTTTGACTGTCTACCGATGTATGAGTAACAGCCCGTATTATTATTGACAATTGATACAAACAGGTCATCGTTTGCTGTACGTTTTACAAAACGGACACAAGTATACCTTCTGAACATATTCATTGCAGAATTAATTGTGTTGAGCTCAGACTTAGCTGTGAAAAATCATATGCGTTCAGTATGAAAAGAAAAAAATTATGTACCTCCAAAAATTAAACTTACAAAAATTCCCCGCAATTTCATACGGTACCGTTCCGTTAGGCCATATATACGAAGTCAGTGTATCGGGGATAGAGACACGCCCATCCTCTGGAGGAACAAGCATTATGTCGCCCTGGTAGTACCGACCCAATCCATATTCAAATGGATACTGTTTATCAACAGCTGGATTATACTCGGATAGTTTTCGACCTTAAACACAAAATAATTAAGATTGAATCAAAATAAACTGACATAAACGCATGCTTACCAACTTCTTCGCTGGGAGTGTAATAGTCGCCATAGACTGCATTCAATATTACGATTGAAAAGAATAGGACAATTTTCCCGGTTGCCATCATTGCGCAGTTGAATGCAAAGTACCTCAGTAAACTGCATTTCACTTTCTTTTATATTCGTGTGAATGGCGATCAATTTCCTTCAATTTGTCAATTACAGCTGTTAATTTCAATTAGCACGTGCATGAATCACTCATGCAGAACATATGTAGATAACCAGCATAATTGGTTGCTCGTTATTCTAATCAGCGAAACGCGTGGAAACTAGTTTGTTTTTAACTTCGAGTGTTTATCATATTAACATGCAATTAACAAACCGGTTAAATATGATAAAAATTGTAATGTATTTTTTGGATGTCATGCTTAATTAAAGTCACAATGTATCCATTGATTGCTGAATACATTCAACACTTGATTCTAAGCTTGATCAATGTTGTGTTAGGTTCATGAAGATTTCAATTCTATTACCTACGTTTTTATCTACCTCGTCGATTTTATGAATTATGACTCTCATTACTTTAATATCATAAAAAAAGGGAAGGTGTTGGAAGACACTTATTTATTAGAAGGCAAGGGCAAATTTCCCGTTGAGGACGTAATCGACAAGAAGAAGTAAGAAGGATCATTAGAATAAGGACAGCTAAACCAGTAAAACCTCAGCAGATATTGACTAGACAATTCGACTGTTAAGCCCATGGTCAAATCCATACTAAAAATAGCTAAACTGAATTTAAAAGCCAACACAAACCAGCAGCATGATTACATCATAGATGTGGATATCGCAGTATAATTTAATTAAAATGCAGGATCACATATTTTAATCCGAAATTTAACCACGTGGACAGTTCATGGGCTGTGCATAAACTACATAGACAAATTTAATAAATTTTAAAACTGTTCCGTTCAGGGCTCCGGTGGTTTCTGAATTGCCCGATGACGGGTTTTGGTTTTGATTTATAAGGGGGGGAGGGGGTGTAATGTTGTAATGAGGGTGTTCAAACTTGTTTGCCTGTAATAGTTAAGCGCGATTCAAATATGACGTGTTCTCTTTAGAGGGACCCTTAAATTTGTGGCATGGGAAAAGCGTGACACAGGGGGGTTTAAAAAAATTAAAAACCTGTGGATGTCATATATATATGAATCGCGCCTTACTTTAAGCAGTGATTAAAAAGCGATAATGAATCAAATTGAACAACTTCAACCAAATCAAAATCGTCATCGATGACCGCAATCCGTTTCATAACGACTGGTAAGGATTACATTTGTATGGTGGAGGAAAAACTCTACAACCGCACGGCCGGTGATTTTTTTTCTTCATCGAAATAATCATAGCCACCATGTCGCGACGAAGATGGGGCGAAATTTCGCCTCGCTTTGACAAATAAAAAAGCAGAAGCAAAAAACTGTGAAAAGCAATATGTCAATACGGAGATTTTTCGTAAACAATCGAATGAAATTTTAAATTTCCAAGTGCTTTCCGGCCTAGATGGAGGTGAAAATGCAGCACAACTCCCAGGCGCACTTGTTCCAGATACAGGTAAGTGACGGGAAACTGCCGTTTGAGCGCTGAAATTCCACTCATCACTTCGGACTGGAGCAAATTTTAATACTTTTTTTTCTTTCCATCTTCTTATTACATGGCTTTGCTACGCTTCGGAACTGGCCACTGAAATTCCTGCTACTGTTGCAATGGCTCCTACAGGTCAAATCCTTGATCAAAACGCTGAAATGTCTGCAATCGGACGATAAATACCAGGCGCTACTGTTTCTCATTTCGGCCATTAAGTTGTACGTCAAATTCTTGTACAACGACAACCAAGAGCGAATTTATAAGCCGTCAATACTCAAAGAGTTGAACAACATCCAGAATGTGATTATTGCAAATCTACTGAAGTCGCGTAGTGCTGCTGCAACGATACCGTCATCCTCGTTGGTTCCGTGTGAACTACGTACCAGCATTCGCAACGATGCACCGGAAGCGATGAGCAGTGATGGAATTTTACTCATCCATCCAAAGTCGAGAACGCTGCTCTCCCTCACACCCTATGATATGAAAGGGAAACTGCTACGCGGGGGACTGTTCGATAGTATTCCTCTTTCCGGAGCTGTCAAGTTTAAACGACGCCCTCGAATAGGAGTCATCGGCGATTTCGGGAACATCAGATTAAACCGGTCCCTTGTTCGCATGATAGCTTCCCGAAATTTTAAGCTACTGTTTAACATGTTCGAACAAAGCATTTTTCCAACGTGGAGAATTTTCAAAGATGAGCGCCCAATCAGAGCCCGGACTCGTCCAACTATGCCCTCGATTTGCTACAGCGGTGGATCCTCCCACTCACCACCTGCAGCCTACATCAAGAAGGAAGATTTCGATTTTGATGCCCCATACTCATTGGCGGTTGATGATCCGTGCTTCGAGGAGCTAAAGGATGAGGACGACGATCTGATGATGCTGAAGGACGAGGACGATGAAGATGATTCCATTTCCAACGAAATCTACTCGGAGGAATCGTCTACCAACAACACATCGCTGATGCTGTCTTCTGATACGAACACTTTAGACACTAATGATTCCAACATGCTCTCGGGTGAAAGACTCAAAGAGCAGGTTTACCAATGTCTGTTGTGCGATAAAAGGTATGAGAAGGAGTCGTATTAAATTATGTTCGATTGAAATGTACCAACCTGCGGATTTTTCGGTTTTAGCTATCGGAAACGGAAGTCATTGGTAATCCACTTTAGTAACCACCCGGGATTTTGTCCAGACTGCGGAAAACAACGAGGTGTAACTTCAGAGGTATGTAATCTTATGAGTTCTGAAATCAAGACTAATAACAAATGAGCTAGGCCAGGTTGAAATTTGTTTGATGGACTTAATGTACAATGTATGGCTATGATGATTCTACGACATTACCCGGAAATCAATTTCGCGGTAGATCATTACCCGGAATGAACCGTTTTCCGGAAAATTTGTTCCCGAAAGCTCTAGCAGTTTATCTTCCTTTTCCTGTAGATCTCGCAGTCGACGATCACCTTGTAAATATCGGAGATAATATCTGACAGAATTCAATCGTTCTTCTTCATTGAAGGCTTTCAGTACTTTCAAAAGTTAGCTTACTACCTCCCTTACTACATTAAACTTGTTGTGAAATTATTTTATTGCATTTCTAGTACGCGGTATGTCCCTTTATAGGTAGACTATGATGAGTTGGCCAGAACTTCATGAAATATTGGGTTTTCACGAGGGTCTGCACTGGAAGAAAAGTATCCATATAGTTTCCATAGGGAACGCACATGATACCGAATCGCTCCGCAAATCCGCCAAATTTGGGCCGGATTAGCGGGATTGATTCGATAATCTGACTGTAAAATCCATATAAACCAATGTTAACAACCTAAACAATAAGAGACCGCGATAGCACAGGGATACTGTATTTTTCCAATAACAAAATTATTTTTATCTGAAATTCGCATAACATTCATTTGAGTTAGTAATCCGAATATCCTTTCGGATAAACTCCACGATAGTGGGCTTCCACCAATCATGAACAACTATTTGAGCAATTTTTTGTCTGAGAAATATATGAGATTCTCTCATGGAAACTCGACAACTTCACGAATTAGTTACATGGGTCTCCCCCAGGGCTCATTTTTAACCCCTTTCTTTATAATTTTTATGTAAAAGACATTGATGGTTGTCTTGATAAAAATTGCTCGCTAAGGCAGCTTGCAGATGATGGCGTTGTTTCCGTCACCGGACCAAGTGCACCTGACCTGCAAGGACCATTGCAAGATACCTTAGACAATTTGAAGCTTGGTTTCGATTCTCTCCGGAGAAAACTGAGTTGGTTGTTTTTTTCTAGGAAGCATCATCCTTCACAGTTACAGCTTCAACTAAAGGGTAGAACAATCACTCAAAGTATATCTTTCAAGTATTTAGGTGTCTGGTTCGATTCCAAAAGCACGTAGGAAAAACATATTACGTATGTGAAACAAAAATACCAACAAAGAATCAATTTTCTTCGCACAATTACCGGAACTTGGTGGGGAGCACACCCGGAAGTTGCCTCCGAATCGCACTTGGCTGTATGCACTCGACGCATAGGATGAGCCTCGAAGTACTCGCGGGTGTTCTCCCACTGACAGATCGTTTCGTGGAACTGTCCTTCCGGTTTCTTATCCGTTGTGAAGTAATGAACCCATTGGTAACAGAAAACTTTGAGAAGCTGCTCGACAGAAATCCTCAAACAAGATTCATGAGTCTCTGAGTACATGACGCTGGAGATTGGCCCTTCTTCGTACAATTCGAATCGTGTTTGCTTCCAAGACTTTTGTAGTTCCTCTGTAAATTTTGATCTGACCATGTTGCAAGAAATCCGTGGAATACCAGATTACCATCGATTTGTGTTCCCTTAATTTTTGCAAACAAGTACCACCATGTCAGTAACAATAAGAGTTTTTTCACAGATGGGTCAACTATAAACGCTTCCACTGGATTTGGAGTATTCAACGAATTTCATAGCGCCTCATATCAACTGCAAAAATCCTGTTTCGTATATATTGCGGAACTAGCAGCCATATTCTACGCAGTAGAGCAATTTGCCTCACTACCTTCTGACCATTATTTCATTTTTACGGATAGTCTTAGCTCATTGGAGGCTATTCGTTCAGTGAGGCCAATGAAGCACTCCTCGTATTTCCTGACCGAAATCGGAACCAAATTGAGTACTTTATCTAACTGTTCCTATACCATCACTTTAGTCTGGGTCCCATCTCATTGCTCTATTCCGGGTAACGAGAAAGTGGACTCGTTGGCTAAAGTGGGCGCTATGAAAGGCGATATTTTTTATCGACGCCTTTGCAGAATTTTTCTCAATTACCCGTCAGCAAGTCCTCACCAACTGGCAACAAAAATGGAATGAGAGTGATCTGGGAAGATGGTTACATTCTATTCTCCAACATGCGTCGATCAAGCCGTGGTTCAAAGGGTTGGACATGAGCCGTGACTTTATACGTGTCATGTCCAATCACTGCTCGTTAGATTCGCATTTCTTTCGAATCGGGCTCACAGGCAGCAATTTGTGTGCTTTTGGTAGTGCTTATCACGAGATCGACCACGTGCTTTGGCCATGCACCCTCCATTGTGTTGCTAGATCCGAGTTATCCGCATCCCTCAGGGCCCGAGGAAAACAACCTATGCGGCCCGTTAGAGACATCTTGGCGAGTCGAGATCTCGACTATTGCAATTTAATGTATGTGTTTTTAAAACGGTGTTCCCCAAGTTGTTAGCTGCCTATCGGTGTACCCTACACTCAAAGATAAATTAAATCATAAAAGCTTAAAAAGTATGCAGTTTCCCGCTTCACCTTATTGAGTCCGAGCCATGATTACTTCGGCAATAGTCATGCATGATTAAAATCGAAATAATCTTTCCAGTATTAAATTTTATTCTTTTTGAATACTGATATATAATCAAAAAAGATTAAAATTCAATCAAAAATTATTAAAATAGAACCTAAAATGATTAAAATTTATTCAAAAAAAGATAATCTACAATCTAATCAACCATGATTAAACTGGGATTAATATCAGATGCTTAATTTTTAATCATTCGATATGATTAAACTGAGTTTAATGTCAAATTGATTAAATTTCAAACAAAATGGGAATAGTTCAATTTATCAGTGTATGTTTGTCTTTTTCATCAGTTTGTCGCTTAGTTCTAGATTAAGAGCACATTGCTCGAAAAAACCTTGTGTTCTCAATCCCTACCCTGCCATCCATTTGTTACAATTTGTTACCCCTAACCTCGAGATAGCCGCGAGTTATCCGGCCCCGCTTTACTAAGTTTTAAGTAATTTTGTAACCCAAACGATGAATATCGGTTCCGCAAAGCTGCGGCAAATAAGCCTGGAAAAATAAACGCATTATATAAAAAAAAAACAATGTGACTATGCAATTCTTTAATATGATGGGGCCTGCGCTTGATCCCACGATTTTCTGCTTAGTAAGCAAAAACGGCTGTCTGAGGCAGCCGAGCCCTTCATATTCCAACACACCATTAATGCTATAACCGTTCCTCTATTAAAAAAATCAGCTAAATGAAATTGAAATTTATACTGTAAAATATACATTTTTGTAATAGGAAACTCATCAAAACAATCATAAGTGAAATACTATAAATATTTCACTTGACAGGGGAAATGGCTCTAATGTTGGCCTATGGATCTAAGATTGGGCCCATCGCTATAAATCTGCTATTTATCAATTGTATCTAGATGAGCGCGTCATTGAGACGGTACTAATGGATATTTTTGGTTGCTATTGAAAATTTAGTCGATTGCTGAATTTATGTATGGGCCCAAATTAGGGACACTTAGGCCGACATTACATACATTTCCCCTATGTTACAAAAAAATTTGCTATAGGACAGCTAATAACAGTTTTTAATAGAAATCTTACAGGCTACGGACTGTTCAAACATTTTCTTACTACGAGATCTCCAACAATGTTCCGTAGATCTCATTTGCATAGGGACCATAATTAATATTGGTTAACCAAAAGTTAATGATATTCTCGAGATACTAAAAAAAATCAATTTTCTAAGCTTATGTTTGCAAAACCTGAGAACTTACTGAGCAACTGCTTCATAGAATATTTGTATGGTCACTATGCCGAACGCTATTGAGCTAAATGGGTCATTAGACCGAATTGTAACTATCACTCCTTGAATTAAGCAGTTGTTTAAGAAATCTTTAACTTGATACGTGGCATATTTCCTACAATCTCTCCACATTTGAGGATCACTTTCAGTTGACTTACACGCTAGACTGATTCATAATTATTATTTGCGCAAAAAATTGTTGCCGTAAAATCGCTGCCTCTGGAATGTCTGGATAGTGGGTTTGTCGGTGGTTCAGCAAGAATAATATGTAATTCATATACAAATATTGTGAAATATGTTTTTAATCCTTTTAAGATTCTTGTCGGGTCACACCTCCGACCTGGTTGCAGCAACAGTGTCGCATGAACTAACAACCAGAGCTACCAGGTGGTTTTATAAAAAATCTGTATCCACTCTATTAAAAAATCTGTATTTTCTGTATTGACGATTTTTTTCTTAATTAATCATGTTTTGTTGTTTTACAAATACAGTGCATACAAAATAACCATAAAAAGTGCTTAACCTCCTATTCGGGCTATCGTACTAACCATACGGGATATAATTGCGCCATTTGTGATATCGTCCGTACTTATTTATAAGAGTGATATGAAGCCGTTTGAAAATGTATGGAGATTTTAGTTTCTATTCATTGTCTTCCTGATGAGCAGTTTTAAATGCAAAAAAGTGCACGAGTTCATTACTATTTGATATTTTTAATATACTACCGTGACGGGTGTGACTGCATTTTCCGTTGGAGGGAGTGAGAGAAGCATAAAAGAAACAGCAACGCCTCGAGCAGATCCCACTGCAAAAAATATTTTTAGCACAACAATTAATTTTGGAGAGAAGGGGGTACGGTACGCTGATAAAATCGAGCAAGTTATTTTGTTTTTATAAATTTTGATTTTTTTTTTCTCAACCATTTTATAAAAATCTGTATAAATCTGTATTGTAATTTAAAAATCTGTGATAAATCTGTATTCTGTATCGGGTCTGTATTAAGATTAAAAAATCTGTATAATACAGATAAATCTGTATAAATGGCAGCGCTGCTAACAACAACTGCCTGCCTCTGAGGTCGGGGGGACCGGCAGCGCTCACTACGGGTCTATACTAACATCACTCTAACACTAACAAGACCCCGAAGCTAACCACTATCCACACCTGTAAGTGGTGCCTCATTTAATGTGTCTGTCCTTAGTTATTTTTACACTAACAAGTCAATACTTTTTACCACTTGTTGCAACGTTGCAATTAATATCAGCCCTGTTATACTTTGATATCTTTTAGTCTAATAGATTCTTCTTGCACATCCGATCCCATTTCACCACTCGTAGCAAGTTTTGTTAGATTGTCTAGATCTCTTCTAGTCTAATAAATTCCTTTTCCACATTCTGTCTCATCCTCTCTCTAATTACGCATAACAATAAACAAGTAAACAGACACAATAAATGGGTTACAAAACAATATGTCCACTAATAGTGTCTAACCATAACCTTAACTTTCTTTCTTTCCATAACACAATGAACGAGTGAGACATACGGAAATGCAACAAACGTGTCAAATTAACTGCATTGGTAACGAAAACACAGAGGAACGTACACCTGATGTCACACACTAAGGTGATGGTAATAAGGTCGGTGATAATATGACATTTACACAAAAGCGGAGATCAAATCAGATTGGTCAACGTACCAAAATTCGAAACTTCGATTAAAACGTGGAATCTGTGCAGCACTAGTGGAGAACACTCAAAAGCTGCAGGTCTCACCAACCGCTGCCTGCGGTATATAACTTGTGGCTGGTGGCCTCAAAAATGGATCAATTTCATCAGAAGCCGATAGCAATAGAAACGAAGTCTGCAGGCAAGCGTTTGATTATGAATTAAATCCGCCAGAACATCGCAGCAAAGGCAAATACTAATGCGGCGGAGCGTCAACAAGTAAATTAAGCAAGCCGATAGGAATTTGACCTGGGCCCAGGTCAAGCAGCTGCCCAGAATGGAAGTCTTTCACGTTGGCGCTGTGCACCTCTGGAGGTTCCCAGGTATTTGAGTACGACGACGATGGACGTTGCCCCTTGGAGCGGAAATGAAAGCGAACAAACCTGATGTTGCACAACAAGCTGGCGTGTTTTTTTGGTTCTTTTTATTTCTTTTCAGAAAAACAATAAAATCCTCTATATCTCTTCTTTATTCTTATAATCTCTTACTATCCCCTAATCGGACGCTAGTGGGACCAAAAAGCGTGCTAGTGAAAGGAAAGTCGTTATGATATACGGTCTAGCATAGGCCACGACTAAATTTCCGTAGGTTCATGCCTGGCTTACGTGCAGATCGGTAGACAGCAGCCTGCCAGGGTGTGAACTGAGCAATAACAATAACAAAAATTGTTGCCGTACAATCAGTTCGTAATCTTTATCTGTTGGTTTCTGTAACCATTTATAAATTTCGGAGATAGTAGGTGGTTGGCCTAAGGTCTCCTATTTTCGTGATGGGGCTGCCATTTAGGTGTAGCTTCCGGGGAAGATCATTTCTTATTCAACTGCTGGATGCCACTCAAACATTGTTTGAGCCGCACCTCCGTGGTGGACAGACGCTCGGGTTGGCGAAGCATTACCTGTACCACCGAGGTATTGGTTCGCTTCGCACATCCTCACTTTGCTATTGTCTTATTTACAACATTGCCCAGGCTACGCCACCCAGGCTGTGTCCATGTAGTCGTTTGTAATCATATGACACGCACCTTCTAGATTATCAACTCACCACGTGTATAAATCAAGTTCCCAAATCATTCTTCATTATTCACCGCATTTTCTTTTATATTCTACAGGACATCATTGAACACAACAGAGTCTACCACAAGAACAGGCCGCATATTTGCGAACACTGTGGGGAAACATTCACACGCAATCAACAGTATCAGGTCCATGTGCAAGGCCACTTCATTAGCAAGGCGCGCATCCAGGAGCAGAACTGCAAAAGTAAGCTAATTGTATGCTGAGATTTCGAACGTCTAATTGATCTATTTTAATTTACAGAAACCTACAAGTATAGCTGCCGTTCATGTGGTATTGTCTTCAACAACCAAAAATATTTGGAAAAACATGTTCAGAAAAGTGGTCACCAAGCCGAAGGTGTAGTGTGCGGAACTTGCGGTGCAATATTTTTGTCGGAAATCAAACTTCAGCAACATATGGCTAGGACTCATAACAATGGTATGGCTGGGTTGTTTTAGTTACTTGCGCAGCGGATCAATAATTCTATTTTTTTTTTTCACAGAAAAACGGTTCTCGTGTGAACAGTGTGGTAAAATATTCAATCAGAAGGCGAATCTCGACCGACATATGTTGCTACACACGAGCATGGGTGAAAAGAATTATCCTTGCGACAAGTGCAGTGCCTCGTACCTCTCAATGGCTTCGTTGAAGGAGCATATGAAGGTCTCACATACTGCGGTAAGATTATTTGTATGATTGTCTTTTTTAATGCTCAACCATTCTTTCATTGCCCAGGAGGACAAATTCGAATGTAACATCTGTCATAAACTGTTTGCTGCGAAACGTTCCCTTAAACGCCATAAGCTATGTCATTCGGAGGAACGACCTTTTCCCTGTACTGTCGAAAATTGCAAGGAGGCCTACAAGAACCAATCGCACTTGGCACGTCACATGAAGACGGCACATCACATCGATCCTCCCCCCAAGCGCATGGCGAAAGGAATGCAAAAGGAACCGGATTTCGTTCCGCTGGATCCGATTGGTACCGGTGACTCTTCTGGGAGCAAAAATAGCCCAATGAAAAAACCAGTGATTGCTGGCAGTGACAAGTCCATCGGTGACAGCAGCACCAACTTTAGTGATAACCTATCCACATACAACTATGACTACGTTGAAGCTGTTCCGACCAATGCGGGTGTAGTAGAGCCGAACCAACAGCAGCGAATACAGATGATAGGACCGGCAGGGCCTAGGATGGGCGGACCGACCCCGTCGGTTGGCTTCAACGATCCTAGCCAAGGGTACGGCGGAACGACTACCAACGATCAGTTCGAATGGCAGAATCTCGAATTTGGCGCCGGACCCGGTTCTTCTCAGCAACCGATGAGCTTGGATCCTCTTGGCCAAGGTTATATAGAGGGCGTTCACACGACGGGTTATATTCCGGGAGCATTGCCAGGCATGAGAGCGTATCCGGTGAGTTACGAGAAGGGGTTTCAGTTATGCTTTTATAACGCTAGTCTGAATGTAGCACTTGCCCGCATTCAACAAGCCCGAATGCCACTTGCCCAAATATAATAATCGCCGATTTTTAATCGTTCAATTATGAGCAATTCTTTATCCCGAGTTTTAGATGATTTTCCTTCTTTAAAATATGAGCAGTTCTTTCCGGTTGTACTGGACTGCGAATAAAGTCTACATTTGCAGTAATACTGGCTTCAAAATCAAACATATAGTCAAAGTACATAACTCTGGATAAGAGCTTGCCATAAATTACTGTCTATGGTCGAAAGGTACAGTAGCAGCACCTACCCTACCCGTGTCCCCTCGAGAACGTGGTAGAGGTAACAATAGCTGCAATTTCCAAAACCTACGACTGGATGCCTTTCTTCAGATAACAACTTGAGTGCGGTAAATCGATAGAACTGTTTCAAACACATCGTCGGTACATGAGCGAGTCGGCGATCATCTCTTTGGCCAGTGTTGGCGGGAGGAATACCCCTTACCATCCCTTTCCAACGGGGGAGTTTGGTAAAGAGAGATAATCAAACCGATTTGTGCCTTCCTAAAAAGTTGTCCTTGCTCGCTTTCTACTCTCTATATACAATTTTCATACTGCCGTACTCTAACGGAACTATCAACTCTATACTTTCATCTCCTCATCTATCGTATAAAAATTACCACTTTAGTCTGTTATTTGAAATTAGCTTCTTCAACTATATTTAAAATCAGACTATTTTCAAAAGATTCGGGATTGTGGTTACATTCAGGCTAGATGTGTTTGGACACATGTTATAGAATCTTCAGTTATTTACTGTCTAGTACAGCGTTTCTCAATCTATGGATCGCGTGCTATCTTTAGATGGGCCGCAGGAATTCAGGCACTTGGTCACAATTTATCCAAAAATTATATAAACATTATTTTAAATCTTTTTGGAATAATCGAAGATAAGCTAAATTCGTTTTAATTATAAAAATAAAAGAAACTAAAAACTGATAGCTTAAATTTGATTATTACAACTGGATTTAAAATACAGATAAATCTTACATGAACTATAGTAAAAACGGCATCGGTTTTTATATTATTGAAAAGTTGCAGTAATTTTCAATTTCATTTTAATTTTCTTATACTCAATCGAACTTCTTCCCGGAATTCCTCTTCCCATCCCCCTCTACCGCGTTTCAAGGATGGTTTTAAGATTTATTTATTTAATTATTTATTATTCTCTTCATCGGACTTTTGTTGTCTAAGGCTGTGAACCATTTGCCGAGTTAAATTTAACTCGTGGTTAAAAGTGACATTTCGAAAGTTATTCTGTATGTTCGAAAATCCCTGTGCTGTCGATCGACCGGTTTTCGAGAAGAACTCAGCCACGGTAGTCAAAATTTAACTTCTTGTCTGTCAGAAATAACCATGCTCGGATAGCAGGGTTCATCGATAACTTTCCATCTGTCAAATTTTAACCAAAAGTTAAAATAATCCACCAAATGGTTCAGAGCCTAAATGAAGATTGATGGGGAAAAGCCTATTTGGCAAATATTTGCGGAAACAGGCGTAAAAACTCCATATCTTTCCAAAATACAAGGAACAATATCAAAAAAGACACAATAACAGAACAGTTATTAAAAGAACACCGAATAATAACAATAATAATATGGTCTTCAGCATTAAAAGCAATTTTGTCCTATGGCATGGAGTTGTCCTTGGATCAGTCAAGTGGAGGCTGTCATCGCAGAGTTGATCAGGAGCAAAAAAAAGGAAACAGGTTGCAAAATTCATCTGATGTACATTAAATGGACAGCTCACAACTCACAACAATTTGCTGATTTAAAGCAGTTGCATGTGTCGAACCGTATCGTCACCTATCCAGCAGACTACGTTGAATCCGGTGACGAAAGGTTTCCGTTGTGTTGTTGAATTAGAAATAGAATTCATTGAAACGTGCAGACATGAACCGTATTGGATCATGTAATACGTAATTAGCTGCTCGGGGTCCGAGAAGCAGGAAACTCCTCGATCGTAGAACTCGTTTAGGTGCATAGATTTCGAATTCAGCCAAAATCCCGGGACAGCCGACTTCGCTTATCAGTACGTTTGCTGCAAAAACTGCGTGGTTAATCTTCCTCCTACCTCCTACGTTCAAGAGGGTCAATACCCAAGAGTTGGCAACGATCTTCGTAGGGTGAAAGATTCGTTGGATCATTCCAAGGAAGGTGGCGAAGAGCGTAACGAATGAATTTCCTCTGAACAGACTCGATCCTCGCTATCCAAAATGTTTCATAGGGACACCATACTACTACACCAAATTCCAAGATCGCTTGCTCTAGAGAACAATATAGAGCTGTCAGGCAGGTAGGATCCAAAACTCATCAGACATCTTACAGCTGAGTCCGAGTTGCCTATTAGCTTTGCCTATGATATCCGTGTAATGTAGCTTAAATGTCAAGGCAGAATCAAGTGTAATTCCTAGATCACGAACGTTGTCCACACGCTGCAGAGGTTGGTTATCGATCGTGTATTCGAATGCAATAGGTTTTAGTTTGCATTTTTGAACACTCAACGTGAGAAAATTCCTAGAGCACCACTCTTCGAAACTATCGATCAGGTGCTGCAAACACAAGCAATCAGTGAAGCATCGCACAATCACGTATCGTCTGCATAGAATGACCGGCAGCTAGTTGGAAGTATTGAACCGATTTCGTAATGAATATCAAGAATAGCAGCGGTCCCAAATTGCTGCTTTGAGAAACGCTTGAGTGGTTTTGAATAATATTCTGATTGATCACAAAGCTCTCGATTGGTAAGATACGATTCAAACCAACGAGTGAGTCCTTGAGAGTTTGGCCAGTAGAATGACATGATCAACCCGTTCGAAAGCAGCCTTGAGATCCGTATAAGCGGCGTCCACCTGTGCTCCTGCCTCCATATTCCGTAGGCACAGGAAAATGAAAGGAGCGAGGTTTGTTGGGATCGAACGTTTTGGGGTGGATACCATGTTGGTCATGAGCAATGTAGTTTCTACAACTAACAAATAAAGCGTCGTTGACGACGATTATCTAGAATACTTTCGAGCAGGCACAAAGTGAAGTAATTCCTCGGTAGCTCTCCGCATTTCGCTTGTCTCCTTCCTTGAAAATCGGGAACAAAAACTGAAGATTTCCAACGATAAGGAAATACACCTTGCTGTAATGGAATAGTGGACATATTTGAAAGCGGAGAGGAAAGCTATGTTGAGCATCTTTTGAGTTTACACGATGGAATGCCATCAGACCCAACAGCGTTCGAGAATTTCAGCTTCTGGATGGCAGCGTGAAAATATCAAAACTGAACGCGTCTCTGGGAGTATCTCTGATCCCTTCAACAACTTGGCTCATCGATGCCATTGAGTCGTTGAAAACACTTTTGTTATGCTCTGCCAGGAGGTTACATTTTTCTGGTGCTGTAAACCGTGCGCGACCGTGTTGTAGTGTTATAGACTTTTAGTATGTATTTTTTTTATCCTTTCGACCTTACTTTTTATGTTACTTTTCAAACCTTCATTGAGGCTATATTGAACATGTAGATGCTGGCAAACCAACAAATAAACAAGTTAGATGGTTAATGTCATTTTGGTCGTACAATATCAGTCTTCAATATTGCTAGGTCATAAATTTATGGAATTACTCAAAGTGGGTCGCAATTAAGGAAAGTTTGAGAACCTCTGGTCTAGTACACATTGGTATTTTCAACACGGGTATTCCGTTCCTATAGCGTACGGTATCTGACACTTTTTCGGAAATTGGAAGATGCTGTTTTGGAATGGTGTTGAACATCATCAATTTTCGACCTCTATAAGTCTTCTGTAGATCTGTAGTCTGTAGTCTGTAGATATTGACCGATTTTTTGATCCGCCATATTGGATTTCAAATTCAATAAGTTTAGTCTATAAGAAACATCTTTTGTTTTAACACTTTTTTCATGACATTTTAACTGCTCTACAATCACTTTCACTGATATCATGGCGTCATTTCTTAGCACGCCATCCCACCTTTTCGGCAATGTGACGTAATACATTGGATTTAATAAAAAAAAACTATCACATTTCAGGACCCGAATCTCATTTGCGAGCACTGTGACGAAAACAGTTTCCTAAACAGTCAGCAACTGCAAGTCCACATACAGGATCACTTCTCAGCAAAAGACAGCAAAGAACCTCCCGGGAAAAGTAAGTAGTTAGCTGCTTATCGAAGAATAGATTAAAAACTTTATTTAGTAAAACAATTCTTTCTTCCAACAGAACTGCTAAAATTACACTGCAAAACCTGCAATTTGGTGTTTACTACTGGGGTTCAGCTAGATCGTCACATTCAAAAAACAAACCACCACACCGACAGTGTCGGTTGTGATCTCTGTAGTGCAATATTCAACTCTAATCTCAAAGTCTACCAGCACATGCTCAAATGTCATAAAAATGGTATGAAAAGCTTCTATTTTTCCATTGTATATCCTATTTTTAATCTAATGTTTTGTCTGTCGTAGAAACGTGGTACGCGTGTGAGCAGTGCTCTAAGGTTTTCATATTGAAACAAGACTATGACAAACATCAACTGGTTCACCAAACCGTTACTGACAAATCGGTCATCTGTGAGCATTGCGCGTCATCCTTTTTCTCGCAGGAAGCGCTCAAAGAACATATCAAAATTTCGCACACAGCGGTAAGTGTACATGATTAGACGCTATTAGAAGCATTTAGAACGCAATCCCTGCTATATGTATGCTTATTTTTGCAGGAGAAAAAGTACGAGTGCACCATATGCAACAAATTATTCGCTGCTAAGCGCTCACTCAAACGCCATAAACTATGCCATGAGGAGGAAGGTGCATTTCCTTGTCCGGTGGAGGACTGCAAGGAGTCGTTTAAGACTCCTGCCAGTCTGACCAAGCACAAAAAGATGGTACACAGTATTGGTCCCGATCCGAGTGAAAAAGGAGGATCCAAAGCTAAGGCAACTGCAGCGGCCAAGGCAGCCAGTGAAAAGCTGCTGCCAGAACCTCCGCCAGTTGTGCCAGTCGTTAACCCTGCGCTTGTCCTGACCAATGTAGCAGGTCCATCGGTGGCTATTAAACATGAACCACGGACGCCTACTGGCATGTTGGTGCCTCCTTCTCGAACCAGTAGTACAAGTAGTGCTGGCACCGGAAGTAATCCGAATGCAATACCCTATGATCCTTATGGTGCAGGAATGCATTATAACAATGTAATTGGCCAGGGACAACCACAGCCGTCGCATTTTGCTGTACAAAATCCAAATAACGCACTCCATTACGGTCCTGCTGGGCGGGCTGCAAACGAACAAACCATGACATACCGAATCGATCCCACCGCTGCAGCCAATGCTGGCCAATATGGCCACGCGGCAGCAGCCTACGGACAAATTAATAGTTCTTTTGAGTGGCGTAATATGGAACTACAAAACAGTATTGACCCAGGCATGGGCACATCCGGAACCGCCGGACCAACCGTTCAATCGGTTGCTGCAACCATGAAAGCCAACAAATACTATCCAGTGATGGATGCCAGTGGTGCCGCAGGCGGCGGTTTTATTCAATCTCAACAATCACAGCAACATCAATCCCCTCACCATCATCCTCAACAGCAGCAACAGTTGCACCCACAGCAGCATCCTCATCATCAACAAACACAACAGCAGCAACATCAAGCTATTGCTGGTGCTTCCATACAGGTGAAGAACCCACAAGAATCGCAACAACATCACCAACAGCAGCAACAGCAACAGATGTTGCATATGAACAACCAGGAGTTCATGGGTTACCAGGTAGGCGGTAGTTGTTTCTTTAACGACATTGTTAATCAGGACTTTATCACGATTTTATCATATGTTGAATTACAAATTACAACACTTTTTCTTGTGAAATCAATTATGCTACAGACCTCAGTTTATTCTTATTGAACGTAGGGTGGAGCACTATTTTGGCATATGGGACCCATTTCTGTCATACGCGTCATAAATATAGGAGACAAACAGATACATCTAACATTCATGCATCAAATTCACGAGTTAAATGACGAATGTTGTAAAACATTGGATTCAAGAAGCCGTCATTTTCCAGGATTGTCAGGTTGGACAAAGGCAAGAGTGTCAACTCCAATATTTTTGAAAATAGCCTGTCGTCTTTTGCGCATGCTACACCGTTGAGGTGCTTGTCATAGTACTGCTTCCACCTCTCTATCACCTCACACTCTTTCGTGAGAAGGTTACCGTCCAAGTCCTTGCACATATCGGCGTGCGGTGTTGCAGCATTCTCGCCCGTGCTGCATGCATCTCCTCTACTAACAGTTTGCATTCGCCGTCAAACCAGTAATTTCTTCGGTCCGGGATCGCAGTACTTAAAGCTACTGCACCTATGGCGGAACGGATGTCCCTCCAGCCATCTTCAAGAGTAGCTGCGTCAAGCTGCTCTTCCGTGGGTAGTGCAGCTTCCAACTGCTGTGCGTAATCCTGGGCAACTCAGGCGTCCCGTAATTGCTTAATGTTATACACCGTCGAGAGTTTTGAGCGCATGCATGCTGCAACTAAGTAGTGGTCCGAATCTATGTTCGCACTGCTGTACGTGCGATTAGATTAGATTAGATTAGAACGTGATTCAGGGGGCTTTGCGGATATCCTTGTGGGGGATAAAGATACTTCGGACTACCATACCACGGGAAACTGCAAAGTAAACGCATCGTTGGCCGTTGTCGTTCGATACGGCATGCAGGCTGTTTGTACATCACCTCCCGTCCTACCCAAGCGTTCATGTCGCCGATGACCGATGATTTTGACGTTCCGTTGCGAACAGGTCTCGTACACCTGCTCCACACTGCACATAAAACGCTTCTTTCTCGTCGTCGGGTCTCCCTTCGTGCACATTGGTGATGTTTCGGTAAGCTTGTTTTCACCAAATTTGGCAAAACCAGCTACATACATAGGAAACCATAGTTTTCACTTGATTTCATTGGTAAACATAGTTCATTTGTTATGTATTGAATAATAGTTAAATTAAGTAAACAATAACAGCTGTTGCTAGCATGATTAATAATCCAAAGGCTATGTTTATAAACAAGCATTAATTGATTTCACTCAATTTAAGACGCATGGCCCTTTTGCCCCATTGCCGTTTCAAAAAAAAAGATTTGAGGTGACAATTCGAAAAAAATCGTAAACAATTTTTGACGAGATTTAATTTGCATGAAGGCAATAATATGAACTTGCAATACGGTGTAGAAACACCTATAAAAATCCACTATTTGGCCTCCTGGCTGTTGGAGAGGTCGAATATGATTTGATTGTGCTGACGGAAACGTGGCTGGACGACCGAATTAACTCATCGCAACTTTTCGGGTTACTCTATTCCGTCTTCAGAACTGACCGGTCTCCCCTAAACAGTCAGAAATTGCGCGGTGGCGGAGTCCTAATTGCAGTATCAACGAGACTAGTCAGCTACGTAAGTACGTCTCCCATTTCCAGTCAACTTGAACAGCTGTGGATTGTCATAGAACTTCCACAAAGCAAGCTTAGTGTAGGCGCAATCTACCTGTCCCACGACCGCAAAAACGACTGCACGATCATCCGTGAGCATGTGGAATCGTTAGGCTCGATTTCTTCTCAATTAAGTCCCTGCTCTCCCGCTATCGTATTTGGCGACTACAATCAAGCTGGTTTGCAGTGGCGGTTTATAGACAGTGGCACACCATTTATTGATGATTTTTGGACGATTTTAACTTTTACGGGTTCACACAAGCGAACACTTTTCCCAACCTAAATGGACGTTTGCTAGATCTTGTCCTGGCAAATGATTTCGCATTACCGGGCACTTCTGTTTCCTTGCCGGTCGAGCCACTGATTGATTATGTTGCATTGAACAATGCGCTGGCGGAAATTGATTGGCAATTTATGGAAACAGTCGCTAGCGTGGATGATGCTGTGGATTTTTTCAATGCTGCACTGGAAGATGCTATTTTCCGCATTGTCCCAGCTCGACGACCCCCGCAAAAGCCTCCATGGTCTAACCCACGCCTACGCATGCTAAAACGTCAATTTATGGAAACAGCTGCCCTCCGGCTACAAACGGCTGTTCAATTTTGCGAGTCGTATTTATCGAAATTACAATCGTTTTCTCTATAATCGACACGTGAGACGCACTGAAGCAAACCTTCGCACGAATCCGAAAAGTTTTTGGTCGTTTGTCAACTCCAAACGGAAGGAATCCGGGTTGCCTTGTTCCATGTTTCTCGGGAATGACTCGGCTAATAGCGAAAGAGAAAAAGGCGACTTGTTTGCTCGTCATTTCAGGCAAGTGTTCCACGATTTCTCCGCTTCGCTGGCACAAGTGCTGCATGCTACTGTTGGGATGCCACGTGATGTGTTTAGTTTCGATATTCCACGCATTTCAGAAGTCATGGTGATAGCCGCAACACGCAAACTTAAACTCTCGTTCGCCGCCGGACCTGACGGCATTCCGTCATCAGTTCTAAAACGTTGTGTAGCCAATCTCTGCCTTCCACTTGCGAGGCTATTCAATCTTTCGGCACAGCAATGTGAGTTCCCCTGCCGCTGGAAACTGTATCTGTTCCCAGTCTACAAAAAAGGAGATAAACGGAATGTTGCAAATTATCGTGGAATGACCTCCCTGTGTGCCTGCTCAAAACTGTTCGAAAATTATCATAAATGATGCTCTGTTCGCGTGTTGCAATAATTATATCGATACAGAACAACACGGCTTTTACCCGAAGCAATCCGTGTCCACGAACCTGGTGCAGTTTACTTCTAACTGTTTGCGATGCATGGATTCAGGATGGCTAGTAGTTGCTGCGTATATGGATCTAAAAGGTGCATTTGACACGGTGGACCATAATATCTTGCTTGCCAAGCTGGGGATACTTGGCGTCTCGTCAACGGCTGTGGATTGGTTCAGATCTTACTTGGTGAATGTACGGATTAAGATTAGCGTGTTGGAATCGGATGTTTTCTCAAACAACTCGGGAGTTCCGCCAGGCAGTAACCTAGGATCGCTACTGTTTTCGATCTTTTTATACGACGTCGCCTTTCTGATACCATCAGGATCCCGTGTTTTCTATGCAGACGATACGAAAATCTACAAAATTATTAATAGTCTCTCGGACTGTTGTGATCTCCAGAATATGTTAGGTATTTTTGCTGACTGGTGCTCAAGAAATTTGATGAGTCTAAGCATCGAAAAATGTAACATTATTTTCTATCACCCTAAAATCGAACCAATCATGTTTGACTATGTTCTCTACGGACGTTGTCTTGCTCGTGTAGAGCACATAAAGGATCTCGGCGTTACCCTGGACGTTAAGTTTTATTAATTTAGACAATAATTGTCAGTTGAATTTTTCAATATACAAATAAACAAATTATAGAACGTACAATTGTTAAGGTGGCACAAGAATTGGCTGTGAGTGTGAGATTAGATTAGGCACCATACCGTTTAGCATAATGCCAATTAGGACGGGGCAACAATCACGAATTTCTGCGGAACTCACATCAACGTGATAAATATATTGGGTGAGGATGACTACAACAGACTACTCTTTCTAGCATCGTACACTGCGATGCAAGTGTGAAAAGTAAGCTGTTTTGTTCTGTCATACCTCCGTCAGTTTTACCGCTGTAAGTTTGCCCAAAAGTGTCAGATTTCTCAAAAATATCTCCATATTATAAAATGACAAGCGTTCAACGAACCGAATGATAACGCTATGTCAGAAGTGGAATAATGACATAAAATTCTTCCTTTTTTTTCATGACAAGCAGCCCGTGCGACACAGCTCGTCGGGTTGGTAGAAGGAAACGAGCAAATTGTTGGCAAGCTGCTTCACGAAGTAAAGCCGACGATGATACACGTGGGATTTTTTTTTGTTATGTCTTTTCTCGATTCAGATCAAGCTATGACGTCATCCGTGTATATTGCAACAAAGCAGGCAAGCAATATATCATCCTTCTACCACTCCGATCAAGCTTATAGATACTATAGATTTCATAGATAAGCGGAGGCAAAGTATAATGTAGCCAAACGAATTGTCAGTTAGTGTAGCCAAACGAGCATGACGTCATCATGGTGTTGTTTGAGGGAGAAGTATTGTAATATTATGAGCACAAAACGCTTTCCACACTCCACATTCCGATTTATTTCGCGGACAACACAAGAAGGAAAGATAAAGCAAACTATTACTCGATTCATTGCTACAAAGATTTGTTTTGCACTTCATTTTGAACTTTTACGCACGAAACAAAACAAAACTACACAACGAAGAGCTCTATGATGGCATGAACTTTTTTCACGGATGCCAGTAAGATTATTTATTTTTCATGGTTGCCAAAACAACTTTTTGTGCCTCCACTTATCTATGGAATCTATAGTATCTATAATCGAGCTCTGTTACATTGCGAGTTTGTCATGGGAGTCGTTGCAACTGTTTTGTCTGTATCGTTGGTTGCTTTATGTGTTTGCATTCGCTGGTCCTCCTTGGTATAAGGCATAGGTAGAGCCGATCTTTTGAATCTGATTGTAAACGGTTAGTCGCGAATACTATAATAAACGACCTGGTACGAGCAGCGGGAGATGTTAGGATGTTGCTCGAATTAGCAGTCAGAGTAGGGTTTAGATCTAATGTTGGGCATAAAAAGCACAACCCACACTTTACCTATTTTTTCGAGCGGAAATTTAACACAAAATTGAATGTTTCTACTATAGCTGACTTCTTAATTTTTTCACCGTTCCATACGTACCGTAAGATTTGATGTCGTAAAATCGTAAAACACGTCTCATGTCATTAATATACATAATAAATAACAGGGGCCCCAATACACTTCCCTGGGGCACTCCAAGGTTATTCCCCACGGGACTGGAAACAGAATCATTGAAAACAGTCCGTTGAGTTCGGTCAGACAAATCACAAATTGTTAAGATATTGATAAAAATCTAAGACTTCTTGATTCCAAACTCGGTTTACTTGGATTCTAATTTTCATCCTAACGCATTGAAACATCATTGAATTCACTTTGGCCTACGGATGAAGATAAAAATGGAATGGAAAAATGAATTCGGTCGGAGCACTTCTTTTGTTGTTGAGAAAAATTGATGTAAATATTCATACCTTGCAGTGGCGTCGCCCTAACCACAACTCTCAAAACGTAAACAAACAAAACAATATTGGTTCAAATGGATACAAATAAGTCAAACTAGAGGACCCTGTATCCTTTGAAATTGATTTGAATGTAAACATGACCCTAAATAACGTTTTCAAAGTTGTTGAACAGGTAAAAAAGTGAGGTTACGCGACGCCACTGATACTTTGTGTTCTTAAAGACTTTATGTTGTGGCTTTTGAACAAATGTATCGTATCAAAGATATAATTGACTCGTTAATGTTGAAATCATAGATATAATTCTAGATAGAGCTAGAATTAGGGCGTAACAGCCTTTGTAAACAATGACTTCTCTCGATGATTTCTACGAGTTCAAGGCACGCCTACATAAAGCAACATATCCATCGAGTAGGGGAAGTCTTCCCCTAATCGATGGGGATGTCGATTTGCCAGGGCGAGCAATGACTTCCGAGAAATCATCGAGAGAAGTCAATGTTATTAAAAGCTGTTTCGCCCTAATTCCAGCTCTATCTAGAATTGATGTTTTCTGCTCGATAGGCCCAAAATGGGCGATTTGGCTGAAATAGTTCCCTACCCTACCGTCATTTTTAATTGAATTGTTTTCAATAAAAAGTCACACTTTTCGCCATATTCAAATTAATCGTAAAGTTTAAATATCTTCATTTTACATTAAATATTTTTATTTCTATTACATTCGTTTAACGATATTAACACATCATGTATTTCTTTTAGGAAATCTGGAATGCTAACTTGGTTAAGATGGAATACCAAGAAGACGTAAACAACTCGAATGTACCAGGAAGTTCGTACAACAACATTGGAAACATTTTATCGAATCTGGACCTAATAGGCAACAATAGTAACTATGAGCAAAACTATGACATTGTACCGCCGAACGCCGGTGCTGAACAGCAGCAACAAGCTACTCAATCTACTGGTCAAGTGCAGCAGGTCCCACCTAAGAGTACCTACCACAAACAACAGCAACATGTGCACCAGCAGCAGCAACAACAACAACAACAGCAACAAGCCGGTATGATGGGCGTAGAGAGTCCTGTGTTGGTCAATCAGCATCATCACCAACAACAACAGCAGCAGCAACAACAGCAACAATATTTCCAAGAACATCACCCTCATGCTTCTACTCATCACCCCCATCAGCAACCGCACCATGGCCTCCATCATCAACAGCAGCCTCACCACCCAGCGGCTCATCATGCGCAGTTGCATGCCCATCATGGGCCACAACAGACACCCAGTCCGCATCATCATCCACCTCATATGCAGCAGCTTCAGGGAACCCAGCAACAACAGCTGCAGCATCAGTACAATGCACATCTTCCACATCACCAACAGCATCCTCATCATCTTCCGCATGCACCTGGACCTCCCGGTGCTCACCATGCAGCAGCTGGACCCTCTTCTGCTGGACATCCGCATCAAATATCACAACAACAGCCACCAGGTATGAGCTATCCTGCTAATCAACAACATCCTCACCAACAACAACAACAACAACAACAGCAACAACAGCAGCAGCAACAAGCACAGCAACAGCAGCAGGATCATACCCTGACAGACATATCCAAAACCAACAACCTACAGTTTGTAGACAGCTTTACCGAATCAATCGATTACCTGCAGCAGTCGTTTCAATACGTGTAGTAAGTAGGTTCAACAGCTTTCTGCTGATGGGTTCACATTTTAACGTCATTTGACACGCTGTCATTCAGGTGTATTGTTCGTCTGTGTAGGTTACTGGGAAATGTATTTTGGACACTTGCTCCGATTCTGTATCAGTTTCGGTAGCATTTTAGGTGCCTGGAAGGAAGGGTTGCTAGAGGTCGTTAGTTTACTGACATTTCCAGGTGTTACGTTCTTCGTTGCATGAGACTAATCTAGCAGGTTGTCTCAAATTTGTCTAGTATCCGCACACACACACACACACACACACTGTCTAAGTGTCGCATTTATCTACGTCTTGTACTGGCCGGATTCAAGGGAACGTCATCTTCGAGGAATTGCAGCCCGGCATTTTCACAATTTGTAAACGTTCGTTGGGTTTAAGGAATATGATTGAAGTCGATGGCTTGAGCGCCACTTTCTCTCTATGGAGAAATTATACAAAGCGGTGTGACTTAACCAGAACCGAACCAAGTAGGTATAATCGCCAGATCTTCATTATACTAGCTCAGATTTGCTTTTACTACCCACCATGAGATCGAATATGTCTGAATATGATCGACTGCAATCAAGGACAAGCTTGATAGAATCCACAAATAGCCGCTATCATGACTAACTTTACCAGGCAAATCAGCCAAGACCATTTGAGGATTCTATCAACCTTGTCCTTAATGACGAATGAGCGCTAAGGACCGAAACAGAAAAAAATAAAAACGAAATTCTTGTACGGACACAAACATTTAATATATACTAATCTGCTAAGTACATCATTCAATCGTGTTGAACTCAAGCTCGAAATTTACCAAAATGGGTAATAATTAATGTCATGGCTATGAAACAAAAATGTCGTCATACCTGCGCAGGTTTTTGATGCTACAATATGATGCTGGCCTCAGTGACACCACTAAGCGACGATGACCTTCCAAACTGTTTCTAAAGTCGCTCAGCTATGCAAAGCGACTCATGTGCGATGAGGCCTGTAATACAGTTGCGGTGGGAGTGCTTGCTAGATGGTAAGCTCTCGGTTTGGAAACGAGAGCTAAAACGACAACGGTGAGTCGTGCTGGCCTCCCATAGTAACCCGCTCCACAGGAATGGACCTTCGCACGGCTTCGGTTACTATGCTTCCGCTATGACCACCCGAAAATAAATGAAACCCCGCCCTTTAGATTAGAACAGGCACCGTGGTACGCAATTGGCCTTTGTCAATTATCTACCGTCGAGCAAAATGTTGCTATGAAAGAAACTAGTGGCCAATACTGGTCAGTGGCCAATACTGACTTCGCCGGAGTCTGCGGTGGTCAATTTCGCCACCGATTGTTGCTTTTAGCCGTTTATGTCATCCGCCGGTCACTCTCGTTGGTCCTGTCAATCATCGCAGCCGTGCGCTCCACGAATTGCTCATCTGGTCCGTGACCGTGCAAATTGGACAATTTGTATGCCTCCGGTAGATCGATGCGCTGTATGATGAACGACATCCGAGCATAAGCACAAAGGCAGAAAGGAGAACAAAGGTTGATTCATTTGACAAGCTTCCAGTTTTGAAGATTGATTCTCGTGATGGCATTTCCTCTGGAATCTTGATCCGTTTTTCTGCTCATCGAAAAAAATTAAAACTCGTGAATAATTAAAAACAAAGTTGATGAGGCCTATTCTGCGCCGCGAGTGAGATGAGGTGACAAACGGAGAGTCATCTCACATGAAGTGACTATTAAAGGGTGATACGGTCAAAATTTGGTCAAGGGAAAACGCGTGTAAATCGGTGAAATCGTTTATTTAAAAAATCAAATTAAATTTCTTTTTCAAGTTCAATTAGTATAAAATTCAGGAAAAATATTCAGTTAGGCTTCCGCTTTTCCAAATCCGAATTGCCGGGCCTTACGCTTGACCCCTGCCATCAGATTTTGTACAGCCACCTTGTCCACCTTCTTCGCCGCAGAAAGCCAGTTTGCCTTGAACTGCTGCTCGCCCTTAGCAGTTTTTTTGGTCTTCTTTAGGTTCCGCTTGACAATAGCCCAGTATTTCTCAATTGGGCGGAGCTCTGGCGTGTTGGGAGGGTTCTTGTCCTTGGGAACCACCTGCACGTTGTTGGCGGCGTACCACTCCATGGCCTTTTTACCGTAATGGCAAGATGCCAAATCCGGCCAAAACAGTACGGCACAACCGTGTTTCTTCAGGAAAGGCAGCAGACGTTTATTCAAACACTCTTTCACGTAAATTTCTTGGTTGACAGTCCCGGAAGCTATGAAAATGCTGCTTTTCAAGCCACAGGTACAGATGGCTTGCCAAACCAGATATTTCTTTGCGAACTTTGACAGTTTCATGTGCTTGAAAACATCTGCTACCTTTCCCCTTCCTTTTGCCGTATAAAACTCCTGTCCCGGAAGCTGCTTGTAGTCGGCTTTGGCGTAGGTTTCGTCGTCCATTACCACGCAGTCAAACTTCGTCAGCATCGTCGTGTACAGCCTCCGGGATCGCGCTTTGGCCGTCGTATTTTGTTTATCATCGCGATCTGGAGTCAGTACCTTCTTGTAAGTCGATAGTCCGGCTCGTTTTTTGGCTCGATGCACGGTTGTAGACGATACACCCAGCTTATTTGCGGCATCTCGGAGAGAGAGGTTAGGGTTTCGCTTGAAACTACCGGCAACTCTCTTTGTCGTCTCAGCGGCTTCCGGTTTTCGATTTCCCCCCGATCCAGACTTCCTGGCTGTCGACAAACGTTCCCCAAACACTTTAATTACATTTGTAACGGTTGATTTGGCAACTTTTAGCGATTTTGCCAACTTTGCGTGCGAGTAGCTCGGATTTTCGCGATGCGCGAGCAAAATTTTGATACGCTGCTCTTCTTGCTTGGACGGCATTTTGACAACTGAAGAGTGAATTCCAAAATCAAAATAGGAGCAACATTCTACACACACACCTTCAAAATGAGGGGTGTTCAGGTTTTTTAAATGCAAAATTGAAAGAAATACGTCAAGTTGATATTGACCAAATTTTGACCGTATAACCCTTTATCACCTCACTGACTCGCGGCGCCTCAAGAATTGCTGCACTTTTCCTCCCCGTATGCTAGTCGCTCACATACTGTCGAAGCTGGATCATCTTTCTATTCGCGTTAACGATCAGGCCTATTCTGTGAGGCGTGTGAGATGAGTTGACTGTCTGTCACTATACTTGTGAAGTGACAGTTGGCATTGACGGCACCGTAGAACCCCCGTCTCTTCCGCAAAATTAAAGTCAGGCTCAATTTGTTTATTTGATAGGCTCAACTGTTGTAAAAACAACTCAATTGCTTCAAAAAGCGAAGTCTGCGTGAAACATTGTGTAAAAACTGTATAAAAATAAAGTTTGAAATTTGTATGGAAATTCCTATGGAAGAATTTTAAAAATCACTTATTTCGCCCTAATTTTGGTACTACTGATCCAAATGTTGAAAAAAAATGTAATAGGTTGTTGCTATGTCAATACCAAAAAGCCTGTTGTTGTTACGATCAGTTTTACAGCATCAAGAAAGATAGAAATGCGAAAAATACAAAATAATGAAAATTTACAAGACAACAGCACCAATGTCATCACAACAATAACAGACTTGTTAATGACAACCACATATCAACCACAACTACAACCAAAGTTAGAGCAATGTAAGTGAAACTCAATTCCAAAATCTCTATACAAATTTCAATCAAAATCTCTATACAAATTTCAAACAACCTGTAAATCTTCATCAATCTTTACAATTTTTCATATACTCATATTTTGGGATATTGATTCGAACTAGAGGATGAGCTATAAGAAATGTTTCCTTTTTTCAAAATAATGCACCCTAATGTCACAAAACTTGAAAAACAAATCATGATTCTGAAACTTCGTTATCAAGATGATTTGGATAAGAATGCCCAAGGAATTTTGAGGTGAATATAAAAGAGGAATATCCTCTGAGAAGAATCCCAGAGAATACTAACTGAAACTCCCAGATAGTTATGAGAAGAATTGTAAATTAATAGTGATCAGAACTTCAACAGAATTCTGAGAAATTTTTAGAAATCTGTTAAAAAAAAATCTGTGAACAATTCCAAGGTAATTCTTAAAAGAGCTCGATGGAATTTTTGAGGATATGTAGTTACTAAAAAAAATCTAAAGAAAATTCCAATCGATTTCTTAGGATAGTATCCAGGGAAAACCAACGAGGAATTCTAATCATTATTCTCAGCATAAGTGCACAGTGGTCCGATTAGAATTTAGTAGGAAAGTAGTCCTAGAACTTTTGATTTAATATATAGACGTTTGGTGTCTTTGGTGATGATTCGTGTTTAAAACGTCCCTTCTTTTGGTGGCCGTAAACATTAGGGTGGTCCTCAAATTGATTGATATTGAAAAACTAACTTTCTTATTTTTGAAAATAAAATATATGTTCTTTATCAAACTTACAGATGGGTTCATTTCAAACAACTTTGTCGAAATTTTTTTTCTATTTCCTAACATTCTCATTTAACCGTGAGAAAGTCGATGAAGAGAATCGATCAAAGTAGATAGGACCTTTTGAAGAATTCATCTAGAACTTCAAGTGTATTTATAGGAAAATTACATGGGAGTATTGAGGATAATTTCAATGGAGTAGTATTGGTAGTATTCCAACTGAATTCTGGTGAGGCTTTCAAAGAGTATTTCCAAAGAGACATGCAAGGAGCTCTTAAGGGAATTTCGAGCAAGCTCACTCGTGAGTGTGAAATGAGCCGAGTATAGCATTTTTCTGAGGAGTAGAACTTACAAATCTTTCCACCGAGCCCCAAATCTTTCCACCGAGGGGGATAAAACGAGAGTGATGTTAGCTGCTATTCACTTTCATGTTCTCTTTCACATGCTCTTTCTCTCACCTTGGGTGAACTTTGAGCTTCTTGCCTCGAACAAAAAAGTCATCCGGAGCCTCGAAAGGCGCACCTCTTGTCAAGTTCGCTCTCCCTCTCTCTCGAGGAGTTTTGGTTTACTTTTTCCATATTCCTGTCACCACTCACTCAAGGTGGGTTGCCTGAACTCTCAGGGCAAGAGGATTTGAAAACCTCCAGTGAGTTTGGGGAGCCTATTTCGAGGAGTATTCCTATGTCATTCCGAGGAGAATTTCATGGAACCTTAAAAGCTAATTCAAAAGATAGTTTTTGAAGATATTTCACGAACATGTGAGTTCTGAGCAGAAATCAGTGGAATTGGAATCAGGAATTTGGAAGATAATTCAATGGGAATCTTTGGTGAATATTTAGAGAATTCTGACTAGATCTCCATTTTTTTGTAGTAGAATTCATAGATTGTTATGGAGAAAATGACACGGGAATATTTACCACATCGAGTCCCAAAAAGAACTTTGAGAAAATTCTGCGATGACTCTTGAAAAATGTTTCAGAAAACTTCCCAGTAATCCTGTAAGGAACAGAAAAGAAAACAAATCAAGATCCATTATTGGGAAGAAAAAATAATAATAATTCTTAGACTACAATACATTTTTTACATATTTAGAATAAAAATCAAGATCCCGGTCTAAGCAAGATCTTCAAGATTGTGGGACTTTTTTTCGTCATTTTGTTACACCCAAACAAAACATGATACCTATCTTAGATCAATATTTCGGATTTGGAGAAATCTTGGAGTTAATTTTCTAAATTCCAGAACAGTCGTTTTTTTTTTGCGAGTTGAAACTTCCAACAGCAAAGTGAATATTTAAAATCCCAGACTTGAAGATTTCCGTGCTTTCAAATATGTATATGATCAGATCATTCGAGCCTTTGCCCCCTTTGTTTAGAAACTGGTTTATGCCCTTGTCCAAGGGAGAACCCAACGAACTTCTGTACTGTGAACGTTTAATATTCCTCAAACCGCAGTAATTTTATTGGGCACGTGTTATACTGCCATGTCGGCTATATGCACGTTTAGTGGTGGAATACCAATTGTATAGAGCTTTAAGAAATTGCATACACAAACAGCCCTAATTGATGAACGAAAAGGAC